GACCAGTAATATTTGGGGTCACACGTTTTTGGCATGGATATTTTGTGGGTCAGAAGATAAAAAGTTTGGGAACCACTGCCATAGATGTCTGTATTTTATTATGTCCATCAATTATTTATTAAGCTTTATGTCTACAACACCTTCACACAAGTCAAATGTAATTCAAAAGGCTTAACAGTGAACCAAAAAAAAAAAAAAACAATTTTAAAATCTACCCTAAAAGCACTTCTTCAGTTTGTATTAACCAGAGAGCATTTCACTTGTGAAATGGCTCATCAGTGTTTTCACAAAAACCTGCATTATTAATTATATTTTAACAGGTGGAACGTGTGTTCTTCATCGTGTTTCGGCATCACTTTAAAGCGAATGATGACTGCAATGAGCTGAGCCCCAAACTATTTGAATTTCAATTTAAAAGACAGGGTTTTTGCCTCATAGCAGAGGCTTCCTGCTGACTTTCTCATAAGTTAGTCACATTACCTAGCAGCCACATCAAAGTGCTTCCCAGAAACCCTGGCAGTTCTGAGGGTTGTTTGTCAGCAGGGGCTTTGAGTGGRAACTTAAAGCAACATATGACACGACCAAACAATGTGGACGTCTGCAGATATATTGTACCTCTAATACATTATTTATTGAACCACACAGTGGGGTTGTTGGAAAGTGCTTATGTGGTCATTTTTAGGAAAGTGCATAAACAAAACTGGAACAAAACTTACAAGAATATACATTTTTTTCCTATTTATCCGAAGCATAGAAGCAGGCATATCTAAAAATTGGATTTTACGCATTAGATGACTCGTTTTTCATTAATGAGAAATGAAGTGACATGATAAAGCAGAATTTCCTTGAATTTCTGCTGCATTTAAAGGCAGTCACTCTCATATGGATAAACTAATCATTTCCAAACCGTGCAAGTCTATTGATTTTTTTAGTATTATTTTGTTCCTAGCAGACACTGATGTCACATTCTTCAGAAATCCATAAAATATTAAGATAAATGAAACTGCAGCCAGATTCAGATGTTTTTTTTAATGGTGTAAGGCTTTATTGATTGAGGCTTTTGGACAAAACAATCAAGGTGGTGAACTGATTGATTCAGTAATTGACTTATTCATTCATTGGGAGGCATCTTYATTAGATTAGATAACAAGTGGGTGGAACCTAATTTAACAATTGATTACTTCATTGTTTGCATTGTCYTAATTATTGTCTGATTCTGAAAATGTTTTTCCAAGAAGCAAGAACAGAGAATGGGTTTTCCATGGCAGCTGCATAATTGCACTGTCGATTTTCTGTTAAAAAATAATAATTACTTTCAGGGATCGTTAAACCAATGATTGCTGCGGGTCAGTAGTCAGTTTGTGCACTGTGCACAAATCTGTGTTGAAACTTTAAATCTACAGATTAATGTGGACATGTCGTCAAGACAGCCACCGACGGTTTAAACAAACACAAAATGATTGACCTATAACTAGTTTAGAGTAAAATTAAACTTTAAATATCACATTTTATATATTTGTAATACATTATTTTTACCTAAAAAGCCATGGAATAAAACAGCGTTTTCATCCTGCCGTAAATTTGTCGTAAAACGCTGTGATGACTGCTAAGTCGCTTTACGGTAGCCACTCTGTTTGTTTTGTACTGTGTAAAAGACGTACCGAACATGTGAGTTTTACTGCTGTTTTACCTCCTAAATGAAAACAAACCCTATTGTTATATCCATGTAATTTTGTAAAGATATAATCTTGTTCTAAGTTTCTTGGTGGGGGTAATGAGCTTACAGAGAAACAGAAACAGACACACAGACCTAGCATGGCAGCGTTAGCCACACGTAAATTAAGACCCCGCGTTTGATTTAGTCATCTCTGGTTTAATGTTAAGTTTGTAGCTATCGTTCATACGAATAGTTTTCTTTAATACTCAATTTATTTTAAATGGATTGATTCATTAACAGTCACGACTATCCCGAGCCACCACAGACTGACTGTGGGGTCGTAATTCACGAGGGGAACAAATTTCAGCGCAACACCTGAGAGAACCCATAGTAAAAATATAAAAGTTTTATCTAAGCAACAACGTCGAACATGGAAAATCTTATACTTGGAATAATAAAATATGCATACACCAGGGTGCTATAATTTATTTTAACGTTATTTCCAATATCTTGTCAACTCCAGTGTTTAGTTTTAGAATCGGATGACTCAGTTATGAGATTATATCACTTCTGACAGACACCTATCATCTTTTTCCAATTAATGTTTTGGGGGGAAATCATCATTACACATTTATGTGTATTGTTTTATTTTATTTTGTTTTATTTATTATTGTTTAATTCATTATTTTTTTTGTAAACAAACAAAGTACGTTTCCATTAAGACTTAAATCTTCTTGTTTTTTTTTTTTTTTTTACCATCCAAAGCAGAATTAATCATGTTTGAATTTTTCTTCCTCATAGATCTAAAGGACTGAAACTTCAGAACCAAGCTGATTAAAAAAAAAAARAAGAGAGATCTGACAGCGAGGACTAAAACCCACACGATGGCGTCTGGCCTCCTCAGAATCTCAGTATTTCTCCAGAAGGACTGGACTCCGGTGTGGCCTGCTGTGGTGGCCTCTTCGCAGTAGACATGTTTCTCCACGCTTTCCCCGACCAGTCCTACCGTCGGTCCCATCAGATCTGGAATGAGAGAAAACCAGCGGAGCTGACGGAAAAGGTGGAGGGTCTCTTTCAGCAGGTAGAGTTTGCAGAAATGTTTTTTGACTTTTCGTGTTTTTTTTTTGACAAACTTAAAAATAACATCTAAATACACCTCTTAGTTTAAACTAAGCCAGTACAAACTATTTAAAAGAACTAGATTTAAGCAATAGGATCTATGGCAGTGGGATTGCTGATTGATTTGCATCCATAAGATTTTCTATAATTGCTYATAAAAGAAGCGTCTATTTAAATTTCACATCTTATATTTACTAGGCTGCAGTGCACACAAATTTCATAGTTCTTGGCTCTTTCATATTTCCATTTCCTAGTTTTGGCTTCCAGATAATATTTTGCTACTTTTAGATTTTACTTAATATTTTTGTTACTTTTAATTACTATGTGGTTACTTTTAGCTCCTAGGTAATTTTACAAATTTTAGCAAATGCTTTGTGAAATTTAATTTGTACCTTTTTATGTTTTGCTAATTTTAGCTCGTAGATACTATTTTAGCTTGTTTAAATTTACAGGTCAGTTTCATCTTCAACAAATTTCAGCAAAGTCTGTTGTATGGATATGAACACAGAGCATGCTTTTTCCCTCATTTCTGACTTTTTCTACTAATTCTGATGTTAATCTAAGAATTCTACAAAATACACACGCTGCTCTCTGATCCCTCTGTAGTGGCTCTTTGGAGCCTTGTCTGCATTCTGAAATCCACCAGAGAACTAAAGTTTTTGAACATCTTTAAGGGCGAGTCAAAGCAGTAAGAACCATTTTTTTTCCAAACTAAACACAAATTATAAATCATTACAGTAATGGCTCTGCAGAAGTCAGTTTAATAACAACAAATAAACCAGTGGATCACAGTCTTTTGCAGCTCTGGACACTTGTAACATAGTAAGTGAAAGGACTGAGAAGGTTCTTCTGAGTGTAAAGGTTTCAGACCCCCAACCTTCTCTGTTTTGGATGTCTGCAGGTGCTGAAGGGTTACGGGGTGGGATCGGCCAAGAATTTCTCAGCCTTCGCCTCCTCTAAATTCCATCCAGCGGGTGTTGGCATCCCGTGGTTTCCTGCCGGGGCCCGAATTGCAATCCCAGTTTACTTTAACAACGTTCCGAACGGACTGAGTGGAATCACCAACGGCTGAGTCCTCATCAACGGGAAAAGGATGGACCAGAGTGAGGCCCTCCACGCACTGTTTGAGGCGATGCTGTTCTCCCAGGACGCGCAGAAGTTTGCAGTAGCTCGAGAAGTGGCCCACTCGCAGTCCGGCGGGACCGATCCTGAGGGATGCTGTCGCTCCGCTCTGCCTGGGCGGGGTCTGGGAGTACAGCGGGGTGCTGAAGGTGTTTGGGCTGCACGGCGGGCCCTTGCTGCTCCGAGGCGTTGTCAACGTAGCAGCTCTGGGAATCGGCGCCTTTTCTTACTTCCTCACCATTGGCGCTTTGAGCCGTTGGCTCGACTACAGCTCCGACCAACGCGCGGCGAGCGTCTCCCGCGAGTGCGCCAAAGGAGGGCTGGAGTTTTACGACAAAGGCTACGTTCACACTGCAGGTCTTAATGCTCGGTTCCGATTTTTTGAAAAAAATCCGATCTTTTTGTGTGAACGTTCACATTACATTTTAAATGTGACCTGTATCAGACC